TTCTTCCCAGTATCCTGACTGATATTTCTTCATTAATCAAAAACATTAGAAACAGATTATTTGGTTATCCATTGCAGTTTTTGGGAATTTGCACTATGCAACTTGGCTGCATCATTTCCTGACTTGAAACAACAACTACATTTAAAAGATATTTCACCAGTTATACAGTACTTTGGAATGTCCTGTATTTGGGAAAGGCACGATATACAAATATAATTATTGTACTGAGACAACACTGACTTTTTATTTGTGAAACCTTCCCTTCAGAATGCAATACAATATCATACTGATGTTGATGGGAATCTAACTTTTTAGCCAAGGTTTTGATCATTTTATGTAGCGCATTGTCAAATTTGTCTAATTTATGACACTGAAGCACCTTGACTCATTTCTATAACATAGAGAGATGCTACAGAAATGCAAGTTGTTGTTGTTGGTTAAGTTTAATGTCAAAGGCTACATTGGCAACCAAAGCTAATTTAAAGTGTTCTATGGCTGAGCATTATGCGACTGTAGCCTTAACTTCAGATTTCAACAAGGGTGAAGCTAGTGTGATGCGTTGTGCTTCACATCGCTTCCCTCCCCCATTGAAAACAGATAGTTTCATGGATATACAGGCAACAGTTTTACCCACAATGAATGTCATAGTGATATATTCTATAGTACGTAATCTTCAAAAAATGTGGCATTAATAAAAAAAGAGAAAATGTACATCTTTGCATTACATTCCTAATAACAATATATTACTTAGACTCAAAGTCAATTCTTTTGCTGTACCAAAATTACCCCCCTACCCCTACCTAGTGACCGTGATCCAGCTAATAACTAAACGGGAAGGATCAAACAGGCTGGGACTGTTTCATCTATTTAAAAAAAAAGGAAATCTGAGACACCTAATCGGGATTTTAAAATTGCAAAAGCTTTTGATAAAGTTTGTAAGAAAAGATATTTCCACGTGTACATGGGGTCTAAAACTACACATCATTAAGATAATCAGTAATGAATTCATTATGAAATCCAGGAGAAACGTCTTTCCCAAGGTACCATAAAAGGTAGTTCAGGCAAAGAAGGTTGACATATTAAAAGCAAAGCTCAGAAACTTGTAGTGGTAAGGAGGAGCAGAACTCAAAGTATTGATACTCTAAACTCACTGTAAAGGCCTGAATGTTAGCGGTGAAAATTTGAATGAGATATTTAAATAAAAATAAAATATAATGTTAATACCGTACATTCTGACTTTTCAATTTCTTTCCCTGCAATCTCTAGGATTGAATTCGCAGAACAACTTGTTTTTTCTTGCTATTTATTCATGGAAATGAGGACATCCCTGACAAGGCTAGCACTTATTGCAAAATGGCAGTTAAGGAACACGCACATTATTGAGATTTAGGAGTCACATGCAGGCCCAGACTAGGTATGAAGAGCAGACGTTCTTCCCTAAAGAACATCAGTGAACTAGATGAGTTTTTATGGCAATGGTTACAATGATCACCTTTAGGACAACCTTTTATTCAATTCAAATTTCACCATCTGCAATGGTCGGATTCAAACCTATCTACCCAGAACATCGGCCTGTGATTCTGAATTACTAGTTCTTTACGAAAGAAACCACATTCCAAGATTCAAGATAACCACTCAAAGTTGTTTAACAAGACTGGCCATTTTGATATCAGATTCAATGCATCAAAAAGGTATCAAGTAACTGAAGAACTAATGGCTCTGATGAAACTTCACCTTTCACAATGTGCATTCAGGGATCCAACCTTTGTTTCAATTGTTTGAGCACCTGGACCCTTCAACTGCAAAAAATATCTTGAAATGCTCTTCCAAAATACTGTTTTATTTCTATAACATAAGCATCTGAAAATAAACAAGTGCAAATTCTGCAAAGTTATTTCAGCTTTTATTTTCGTGCAACCAACATTTGGAACATCAAATGTTTCTACAAATTCTATATTCAACTAGAAAAAAACTGAAATTGATGGCTTTACATTGATGGTTCTACTGTGTCTCTTAAATATTGAGGTAAAACTTGGGTAGCTGATGTCTTTTTAAAAAGGTCTTTTGACAAAAATAATATTTCTATCAGCACAAGGGAGTCAAGCTTTCAGGGAAAGAAAAACTAGAAGACAATTCATTTGTAGGTCGCACATGCAGGATTTTTGAAATTTTTTTCCCCAAAAAACTTTACTGCATTTTCACATTTCTACATGTGCAAGCTAATAACACAGCACAGAAAGAGGCTTTTTGGTTGATTGCTTCTTTGCCAATTCTTTTTTTAAACAAGAGTAACCCAAATACTGTCATTCACCTGATCCATACCCAAGCTAACCTCTACATGCAAATATTTATCAAATTCCCATATGAAAGTTACTACTGAACCTACTTCCATCAGATAGTATACTCCATATTATAACATAAGACACTAAAAAAACATGCTAATTACCTAAACTCAGTTTACTCTAGTCACCAAATCTGCCAGCAGGAAGTTTCTCAATTTACCAATCTGGATCCTTATCATTTACACAAACTTCTTTTGATTTTATCTGCTACAAGAACATCACTGAGAGCTTCTCTAAACTCATCACATAATTTAAGTCATACAGCTCCACTTATTTTTATCCTCCAAACAGATTCTGGACGCTGGATACATTGTTCATAAGAAGGTTACAATTCCAACAAATTAGATGATGACTCATGTTACTGGAAAAGCTCAGCAGGTCTGGCAGCATCTGTGAGGAAAAAAAACAGAGTTAACGTTTCGGGTCCTGTGACCCTTCCTCAGAACTGCAACTTCTGTTTTTGTTCCTGATTCACAGCATCCGCAGTTCTTTCGGTTTTTATTTAGATGATGACCCACACTTTGGTTTTGTTGAAGGTTATTCACATTGTCAGTTCCCACACTTCAAATTCCAAATCTTGGAAGTTTGTTTCTTCCTTAAACTTACATCCTTGCATCACACTAATTTTAGAGTATCCTGGAGGGAATTAAGGCTCTGTAAAAACAAAGGCACCTCCCAAAACTCTCAAAGACTTTTCAGAAGTGTGCTTATTAACTAAGCTGCCAAACCTCACAAAAGTTCCAACAGCTTTTAACAATGCAGCATAAATGAAATTAATACTGCAAATTTTAAACTAGCTTTGATTGTTTAAGAGAAACAGCTGTTAATTACATTCAAAAATTGCCAGAGAAAAATTGCTCCACTTTAAGCTATGTAAACAATAGTTTCAATAACGAGCGACAATAATTCAATAAAAAGACAACAACGTGGTTTTATGTGAAAGATGATGTTCATTGACATAATATTATCTCAAATATATTGCACTCAGAATATTTTCTCCGATATCGAATAGTTTGTACGAATAAATGTATAAAAAGGTTGATGAACATCAATACACTTCTTTAAAATATAAGTACTCATTTGCGGTAGTTGCAAGGCTATATCTTATCAGTGATCAACCTAAGAGATCACCCCTACTTCCTCATGTTGACTCTCTCTGCCAAGTTCTCTTACCCATTGGGCAGAAGGCATTCTGACGCTACAGGCGAGTGGCAGGGGACACAACCAATCAAAATTCAACACTACAAACCCCACCCCCCAAATGAGGGGCAGCCAATCAACAGCGGGGGAAGGTGGCACCAGCCGCCCAGGACCCCGCCCACAATACGAGGCCGATCGTATCAACTGCCACTCGCTCGGCCGTTGAAACGACGGCAGCGCGGAGGCCCAAAAAGCCTCGGGCGAGCAGTGCCCGCCGCCTCTCTACTTCAGCACCCCACAAAAACGAAACGCGGAGCCTACAGTGCTCCTGCCCACCTCCGTAACCCAACGGGGCGACCGGGATACGGGATCGTGTCGTTAGTCGGACGTACCTGTACGCGAAAATGAAGCGACCGTTCACCATGTACTTAGTCACAAGTGGCCTGCCGTAGCAGCAAGTCGGCGTCGCTGAGAATGAGGCTGACGGTGGGAGTCACGTGATACACTAGGCTCCACGTGACCGAGAGCACGTGTCCGTAATGTTTCCCGAAAGAACTGCAGATGCCTCAAATCAGGAACGAAAACCGGAAGCTGCTGGAAAAGATATAGCAGGTCTGGCAGCATTTGTGGAGAAAAATAAATCAGAGTTAAAGTTTCTGAGGAAGGGTTACCGAACCCGAAACGTTAACTCTGATATTTTCTTCATAGATGCTGCCAGACCTGCCGAGCTTTTCCAGCAACTTTTTTGTTTTTGTTCCTTGAGTTTGCGTTCTGCTGCCAGAGTTCCAAATAGTCAATGGCCATTCTCTCGGTGGACCAACTATAGCAAAGTTTTAACTTGCAGTTTGTTGCAATCTGTTACAAATTATAATAATATAATTGTTGTAGTTTACTAAATTTATTATATTTGAAGCCTGACTAGGAGCCCAGGCTTTAAATATGGCACCAAGACGTTTAATCCATGACGGTTTCAGGTTGTTCGCACCCTCCACGTGATTTGCCGACCTCATTGTGCCTGCGTATCTAGTGAATTGAGAATCACATAAACACACAAAAAAAGCCAGTCAAGTGCTTGACCGAACCTAGATTGCAATATTGAATATTTTGCCCCTTGACTTGGGTTTGAACCCTTCAGATGAAATGTGCTACCCACTGAACCACAGCTGACAATGAGATAAGAGATAACGCTGTGTGGAGCTGGAGGAACACAGCAGGCCAGGCAGCATTAGAGGAGCAGAAAAGTTGGTGTTTTCGGTTGGGACCCTTCTTCAGTTAGGTCAACTTTCCTGCTCCTCTGATGCTGCATGGCCTGCTGTGTTCCTCCAGTTCCACATTGTTATCTCTGACTCCAGCATCTACAGTTCTTACTATTTCTGACAATGAGATAAGATGTTTCATTGTGCGGTAGTCACCAAGGGTGCAATAACTTAATAAGGTTTGAGCAATCTTTAAGTGTAAGCCAACAAGAAAGTGAAGAAAACAGTTTTCTGAGATTGTTGGTGATTTGTATATAGCAGTAGTTTTATTTTTGATGGAAACTTCAAGTACTTTGATCATGGTGACACGTCACATTTATAAAGCTGTTCTTACACAGAATATGACTGCACGGTGATTCAGTTATTTTATTCTTTAATCAACATTTCTAAGCAGAGAGTACTGCCCCATACAGGATCACACAGCAGAAAACTGGCCCATTATCGCAGGATATCTCTTTAAAAGAACTATCCAATTCGAGTTATTTTCCTTGCTCCTTCCCTGTAATCCTGCAATGTCATTTTCTTCAAAAAATTATCAAGTTCTCTTTTGAAAATTACTGTTGAATCCACTTCTGCCATCATTTCAGGCATTGCATTGTCGGCTTGATGACACCTCACATAATAAGTCATCACCAGGTGAGCAATATTTGGATTTTTGACTCTGCATTCTGAAGGCGATCAAAATACCACAGATGTAAATAGAATAGGACACTAGCAAACTTAGTATCCACTAGTCCAGCCCAGGGGATTGATTAAATGTTTAAAATAAATGGGTTAACATTAATACAGAAAGGAAAAAAAAACACATTTGTGTTCATAAACTCAATTCTTGTGTAGTTGCAAAGCTTATGAATTATAGACCCCTGCAAGGCTAAAATATTACAAATTAAAATGTATTAACATGATTCATGAACTTATTGCCCATTACATTTGAAAAGATGCAACAGATAAGATTTTCATGATTAACATTTGGAGGAATAACTTTGCATACATACAATTTCAATTCCTGATAGCCATTTTTTTTAGAAGTTCTAAATTATCTTTCGTTCTCATTTCATGTCACTTTATTACAATACACAAAATGATTGACTAATTGCAGCAAAAAAAATGTTATACCTATATATAATGATGTGGACCATTCTTCTTAAAGCTGTGAAATCTCAGTTATAAATGCTGCAAACAACTTTGTCCCATTTATGTAGCTTTCCCTAAGAAAAAAGACAAAAGAACATTTAATTACAAACAGAATTTAGGGATTAAGTGAATATCCTAACTGCCATTCATTCACCATCCCTGTGACTGCAGACTTACATTGCTCCTGGCCTGGTATTGCCAGGAATTTAAAATTCTCATTCTTGTTTTCAAATCGCTCTGTAACCTCCAGCCTGACAATTGTTTGCATTCCACCCTATTCTGGTCTCTTGAACATCCCTGATTTTCTTTGTACCACCATCCGCAAGGAAGGGGATCACCTGCATCCTAAATTCCTCTATGCTCAGGCTCTGTAAAGGGATGCTGATAGTTCTGTGGATGCTAGCATCTGAAGTATCACATCAGCATCATGAAATGTAAAATTAGCTCCAATTTGATTGTCCAATTTAGAGAACCATCTTGGAGAAATTAAGACAGGACAAGCAAATTTGTTTAATTATCTATCCCTTTAAAAGGAGAATTAAAAAATCCAGAAGATCCTATTTCTCAGGATGGATTTATATAGTTCTTAAATATTTAACATCAACCTGTGGAAATATTCTATTAAGGTTGGGTCCCATTGATAGGAAATACGAGAGAGACAAAAAAGATATTTATTTACAGCCAAGTATGCACTTCGTTGAAGTGTAATCACTGTTGTAGGAAAAGTAGCAACTGAATTACACACAGCAAGTTCACACAAAGAGCATTATGATAATGATCAAATGAGCTTCTTTTAGTGAAATCAGTTGAGGGATATTGGTCAGGACATCTGGGATAACTCCCCTGATCTTATTTTAATTGTGTTGTAGGATATTTTGCATCTATGTAAAAGGGTGGATCTGGAAGATTTACCTCTTAACAGTTCAGCACTCCCTCATGGCTAAAGCGGAAAGTCAACGTAGTTTAGATGGTCAAGCATTTGGAGTGGAACTTGAGTCCCTTCTGACTCAAAAGCAAGTGTGCTACCCACTGACTCACAGTCTAGCCATCTAACCTGCCATACAAGGGCTGGAGATCACGATCAGTAACAATGCCTGGGTTTTGCTGGAATCAACTCCCAGAGCAATTTCATAGAATCATAGCGTCATACAGCATGAAAACAGACCCTTCAGCCCAATTCGTCCATGCCAACCAGATTTCTTAAACTGAACTAGTCCCAACTTACATGGCAAAGATACTGCATGAGCTTCAACCAAATGATTATGTCTCAAAGTCAAAGGGGACCAATCATCAGTGGAGTGAGGGTAACTATGCTCATTAAGGAGATACTGCCACACTCAGTCAAAGGAGCTCGTCCACTAGTGTCTGGGTATCAGCATCTGTACAGACAGGGGATTGGATTTCATGGTTGCGATTTCTATTCTTATCTCGTCATTCAAAGTTTATTAATTTTTCATTAAAATAATTGATTCAAAACACAAGATAAAATTGCCACTCCCCAACATCTGGTTTAAAGAGGATTTAATTCCAAATAAAGCGGACAGCACAGAGGGAGGCCATCTTGCTGAGTTATCTCTTCAAAAGAGCTGTCCAATTATTCCCACTCCTCTACTTTTTCCCCACAGCACTGCAAATGTTTCCCTTTTGAAATCTTTATTCAATTCTCTTTGAAAGTTCTGACAGAAACATAGAATATAGGAGCAGAAGTAGGTCATTCAGCCTTTGAGCCTGCTCCACCATTCATTATGATCATGGCTGATCATCCCACTTAGCACCCTGATCCTGCATTCTCTCTATATCCTTTGATCCCATTAGTTCTAAGAACTATATCTATATATTGCTTGAAAGTCTTCAATGTTTTGACCTTGACAATGTCCTGAAAACTCCGGAGGCTGACCAATATCTGTTGAGAACTTGCTCCTCATCCCTGACTAAAAGGTCTACCCCCTTATCCTTAGACTGTGAGCCCTGCTTCTGGACTCCCTGATCATCAAGAACATCATTTTTGCATCTAACTGTCTAATTCTGTTAGAATTTTATTGGATTGCAAGAGACTTCCTTTGCTTCTTCTAAACTCTAATGAATATGGTCCTAACCGATCCAATTTCTGCCTGTAAGTCAGTCCCACCATCCCAGGAATCTGTGTGGTAAACCTTCTTTGCACTCTCTCAATAGCCAGAATATCCTTCCTTAGATAAGGAGATCAAATCTGCAGACAGTATTCCAGGTGTGCTCTTACCAATGTCCTTTATAGTTGCAGCAAGATATTCCTACACCTCTACTGGCCTTTCAGGCAATGCATTCCATAAAATTGGCTCGAAGACTTTTAGGCAGTTGAATCTTTTTGTAGTAATAAGTTACAGGCTAAGAATGAGTGCCGTTACCAAAGTTGGTGGGTGGGGTAAAATTAACACAGAGGAAAAATACAACATCATACAAACAGATATGAGAAAACTTACAGACTGCTTGAGACAAATAGCTTAAATGCTTTGAAAGGGAACCTAGATGAAAATATTTCAGAGAAAAGGGAAAAGAATTATATGATGGCAAGCTGAAATAGGGTAGAGTGAATTAATCAGAGGAGACTTGAGTGTAGTGAACAGAGGAACATTAGGATTAAGGACCAGGAATAAGCTATTAAGCCCTCAAGCCCACTCTGCCATTCAACATGATCATGGCTGATCTTATTCTGGTCTCAACTCCACTTTCCTGCCTTCTTCCCATAGCCCTTTAACCTGCTTTTCATCAGAAACATATCTATTTCTTTCTAGAATCTGTTAATTGATTCTGCCTCCATTGCACCCTGGGGTAGTGAGTTCCACAGATTCAGAACCCACTGAGAGAAGTAGTTTCTCCTCATCTCAGTTTTCAACCTACCTCCTCTCACTCTATATCAATGACTTCTTGTTCAAGACCGTTCCAGATAGGGGAACATCTGTTCAACATCCACTTTATCAATCCCCTTTAGTATTTTATACACCTCAATCAGATTCCATTCCCCAACTCTCATTCTTCTGAACTCCAGCAAGGAGAAGCCCAAAGCTGTTCAACCACTCCTCGTATGACAGCCCTTTCATCCCTGGAATCAATCTGGTGAATCTCCTCTGAACTGCCTCCAGTGCTACCACATCCTTCCTCAAGTAAGGAGACTAAAACTGGACACAGTACTCTAGGTGTGGTCTCACCAACACCTTATATAATTGTGACTTTGATAATCCAGTCCTTTTGCAATAAATGCCAAGATTCCATTTGCCATTCTTATTATGTGCTGCACCTGCGTACCCGCTTTCCGCATTTCATGAACAAGGACACACAGAGCCCTCTGCATTGACACACTTTGAATCTGCTTCTGAAATAAGTCCAAAGAAGCTGGTATCCCATCACGAAGTCGCCCTTTATTTACATTTGGAAAGTCCCTGATGCTGATACAGCTCCCTCAGAGCCAGCTCTCAGAGTGTCAGGATGTCTGATTAAAACCCCCCATCAGGGAACTCATATTCTATGAGGTCGACCTGGGTGACCTCATTACAATCATTACAGCTTCCCATTTAAGTAAAAATATGCCCTTTTATTTTCCAGCCAAAATGGACAACCTCGCACTCATCCACATTAAACTCCATCTGCCAGATTCTGGCCCATTCTCTAGCCTATCAATATCCATGTGTAACCTCTTTATCTCCTCATCACAGCCTGCTTTCCCACCTACTTTAGGTATCATCTGTGAATTTTAGCATGTTACACTCTGTCCCTGTATGCGGACAATTAGATAGATTATAAACAGTTGAGATTTGAGATCGGAACTATTTGGCATCCCACTAGTTACAGTTCGCCATCCAAAGAAGGACCATTTATCCCAACCCTCTGCTTTCTATCAGTCAGCCAATCTATATCCAAGCCAATACTCTACCCTTAACCCTGAGGATCTAACTTTCTGGATCAGTCTTTCATGTGGCACCTTGTCAAATGCCTTCTCGAAACCTAGATATACCACATCCACCAGATCCCCATTATCCACTTTGCTGATTACATTCTCAAAGAACTCCAGCAGGTTTGTCAAGTATGACTTGCCCTTCATGAAACTGTGCTGACACTGGTAAATTGAGCTTTGTTTTTAAATATTCAGTTATCTCCCCTTTTATGATTGACTGAGTGTTAACACCAGCACAGATTAGTTGGGCCAAATGGCCTCTTTCTGTGCAGTCTATTGTATATAATTCTGTATTTTTTTACCTGCTGAGTTTCTCATTCCGAGAATGTGTACCATCATCAGCTCCACCAATTGGCAGCATCATCACACTTTTCTGCATTGTATGTTGGAGCATTCTGGCAATGGGAATCGTTCCTCCTGCACGGATCAGGTCAGCTTCAATTCCAAACACTTAGCAACAGCAAAAATAAATAAAGTGCAAAGTGAGCAATAGTTAACTATTTCTGAAATTTACTTTACTGAGTATCAGTAATTTGTGCAAGCATGAATTAAACAGGAGACTTTGATGGGATTGCCAAAATGGTTTAAATATGACTGAGTGCCATTTAGGTCTTCGGACACAATGGTAGCACTCCAGCCAGTAAAGTGATTTTATTGACAACGTGAATGTGTATTGGCAATATGGATCAGTCACACTCTTGCCTCTTGAGTCATAAAGGTTGGAGGTTCAAATCCTGAGCCTTAAACATAATATCTAGGCTGACACTCATAATGCAGTAAGTAGTGAGAGAGTATTGCACTGTTGAATGTGCTGTTTTGTGGGTGAGACATTAAACAAAGACCCACTAAAGGTGATGTAAAAATCCCTTAGTCATGAATTGAAAGAAGACTAGGGAATTATTGTGGCAAATATTTATATCCAAAAAGCAGCATGAAAAATGATGACCTGGCACTGGTATTTTTAAAAGCCTGCTGTGTGCAAGTCGGTGCTGCTGCATTTCCTACGTTAGAACAGTGACTACATTTAAATGGCTGCAAAGCATTTGGGGCTTTGTGAGATTGTAAATGGGATTGTAAAAGATGCTATAGAAATGCAGGTTCTCTCTTTTGTTATTTTATGTTTGCATACAACATAACTGCAAATGATGGCATAGCACTCTCTCAATAGATGTAGAAAAACATTCAGGTGAGAATACAGAATAAAAAGGCAGAGATTGTGCAAACTCGAGAACTAGTGATGACATTGCCCATGAAATCCCAGTGTAATTTTCATTCCATTCTCCGAAGTCATTCAAAAGTCCTCTTTTGAATCACATGAAACGTAAGAGAAATCAGGATTGAATCAATCTCTTTGGTCCCAGGAATATGTTTGTTTGTGCTCCGTAGTTTAATCGCACAGTATCAATTGACATGTGATTTTGTTTTCTGATTTACAAGAAAAACAACTTGCATTCATAAAGCACCATTAACCTAATAAAATGACCCAAGGTGCTGTTTTGCTGAATAAAAACCAAAAGAACTGCAGATGCTGTAAATCAGGAACAAAAAACAGAAGTTGCTGGAAAAGCTCAGCGGGTCTGGCAGCAGCCGTGAAGAAAAAATCAGAGTTAACGTTTCGGGGCCGGTGACCCTTCCTCAAACCCGTTCTGAGGAAGGGTCACTGGACCCGAAACATTAACTCTGATGTTTTTCTTCACAGATGCTGCCAGACTTGCTGAGTTTTTCCAGCAACTTCTGTTTTTGTTGCTTTTTTGCTGAAGTGTAGTCACCACCGTAATGTGGGGTTAAGCGGCAAGCCATTTATGATAGCAAGCTTCCACAAAAAGCACAGAATCATAGAATGGCAAAATGAAAAAAGTGTTGCGTTAGATCTTCAGCCCATCATGTCTGCGGTGGTTCTCTGTGAGAGCAACTCAGTTGATCCCACTGAACCAGCCTTTTCCCAATGGCCCTGAAAAAGTTGTCTTTTAAAATAATTAACCAATTCACTTTTGAAAGCCACAGTTGTGTGATGGCCTAGGGGTATTAATGTTGGACTCTTTATCAAGGTAATGTTCTGGAGACTTGGGCTTGAATCTCACCATGGCAGATGGTGGAATTCAAATTTAATAAAAACCTGGAATTACGAGTCCAAAGATGACCATTGTCAATTATTGGCAAAATCCATCTGGTTCACTAATGTCCTTTAGGGAACGGAACTGCCTGATCTGGACTACATGTGACTCTAGACCCACAGCAATGACTCTTAACTGGCCTCTGGGTGGGCAATAAATGCTGGCCTAGCCAGCGATGTTCTCATCTGTGAATGGATAAATAAAATGTCTGCCTCCACCACACTCTCAGCCAATGCGGACCAGATCCTAATGGTAACCTGTTCCTAATTTGTGTGTTCATAATCATCCACTGCTTAAAAAAAAAGCATATATTTAGTGGTACTGCTAGAAGGATAAACATTGGCCTGGACATTTAAGTAAAACTCCCCTGCTCTGCCTTGAATATAGCTATGGCTGTGGCTTTAATTGCCCTTATGAGAAAAGAGATGTGTTTTGACTGTTGCTTCATGAATCAGCAACAGATTCCTGTAAGATTTCACCTGACAATTCACCATATATTCACTTGCCTTTTCTGATGGCTCTTCGACCTGCATTATATAGCTTGTCAGTGACATCAGCAAACCAAGCTTTTGATCCAGATTGTAAAGTAATTCGTAGTTTGTTGGGAGTTCTACGTTCTGCAAACACTCCATTAAGATATGTCTTCACCTATAAGGAATATCTGAATACATCAACAACAAATACAGAAGCACTGTAACGATACAATAGTCTGTCACAACACAATATCTCATTGACAACTGACATCATCAGATTCATTGATCAACAAATTGGTGACTCAGGTTAACAAGGGCACAAAATGTTTTTAACATGTACAACAAGCACCAACAGTTCATTATCAGTGGAGCAGAATTTAAAATTGGAGAATTAGTTAAACTTGCATTAAACCTTAGTTAGACCATACTTAGAGAACTGTTCTGTGCTGGTCTTCATATTACCAAAAAGGATACAGAGGCACAGATGGAAAAAAAAAGCTTTATAAGAATGATACATGAACTGAGACTAGCTTTTACTTACAGATTTTTATTAATTGAATTTAAATTCTATCATCTGCCATGGTGGGATTTGAACCAATGTCCCAACAGCATTACAGAGTAGGCCCCTGGTTTACTAATCCAGTGACAATATCATTTCACATCTTCTCCCCTGAAATTGAGGCAAGATGCCTTTAAGGGTAAAGGCATTAAGTACATGTAGGAGAAAGAACTAGAGGGATACATTGATAGGGCAGGATGTTGAAGGTTGGGGGAATGCTCATGTACAACATAACCACTAGCTTGGAGTCGTTGGGCCAACTATTTTGTCTCTGGACAGTATTTTTTTCTATAATTCTGTGCTATCTGAACTCACAGATTTCATGGATTGTTATGAAGAAACACAATTTCATCCTGCTGCTCTTTGCGGTCCTAAATCCTAGGTTGGAGGAAGAAAAGGAGTCATTAGAATATTCCAAGTAGGCAACCATTCCACTTGAGGTGTTAGGGGTAAGAGCTGAAATTGTCACCATGAATGGAGTTATATCAAAAACTTGAACCAATAAACAAAATGCAGCCTCACTGAAAAACCAGCAACCTTTCTAAGATGACCATTTCAACTACCAGGGAATGATAACAGAATTGATGAAGTATTCTGAGGAAAGGGAATAGACACACTTTGCTGCAATGCAACAGAGGAAGGTCTTCTTGCTGGGGCAGATATAAATGCAGCACAGCCATGGATTAAAAATGTTTCATGCTTTGATTTGTCCCTCTGTTGTAGTGTTCATTTGTTCAATGTTTGATTATGCAAGCCTGTTACTCACTGTGCTTGATGGTTAAGCCTAGATATGGCCTCAGAGAAAAACAAAAGAGCAGAAGCTATAACTGAAGCATACAGTAAACACTTTGAAAGCATTGCAAATAAAACCTGTTAAATGTAGAAAGTGAAGCCATGTCTTTACTAGATCCAAGGTATAAAATATAAAACATTCATTACACCTTCCACTGTTTTTTCACATTTCTGCTCCTCCTCCTCCACTCTCTCATCTCCTCCTTTCTGCTTCCACTTTCCCAGTTGCAGCTTGGGTGGAATTTCCCCTTCAATTCTTGCTGAAGATAAATCAGCATTCCTGATCAATGTTTACCTGATTGCTCAGTTTTTCAGGATCCATGTTTGGCACTAAGCGTATGGAGAATTTTCCCTTCACTTTGGCTGGGATAACAGTTTTAGTTCCTGGTCCTGAGAAAGCTCCTTCAATCCCATGAATAGAAAGTGATGGAAATCGCCATCGATGAAGGAGAACATCCATCTGCATAAGATAACACAAAGAGTTATTAAAATGACCGTCCTTGGGACTCCACTGACCCACTTTGCTCACCAGCTGTAATCACAGCAACTTGCATTTATAAAGCTCCTCTAACACAGTGAAACAAAAGGTATTTCATGTGAGTGATAATCTGACCAAATTTGGCATCGAGTTACATTAGAACATATTAAGACAAAAGGAGATAGCTTTTTAAGGAGCATCTTAAAGGAGAGGGAGGTAGTGAGGCAAAGGGAACTTTGAAGTTTAGGACATCAGCAGCTGAAAGCTTGTTTGCTAATGGTGGACAAGTATAAATCATGGGTGCTCAAGTGGTCAGAATTGGTGAATGCAGAGAACCCAAAAAATTGGAGTTGAAGGTGATTGCAGAGATGAGAAACTAGGATATGGAGGGACTTGAACACAAGGATGAGAACTTTACAATAAAGACATTGTTGGTCCAGGAACCAAGATAATACGATGCAAAATTATCCTTTATTGCTATTCTAAAGCATTAGATGATAATTTCCAAACCTGCGACAGCTATTATGCAGAAGAACAAGGGCAGCAAGTATATGGGAATACCACCACCTGCAAGCCTCCCTCCAAGCCACTCATCATCCTGACTTGGAAATATGTCACTGTTCCTTCTGTATTGGTGGGTCAAAATCCTGGAATTCCCTTCTTAATGACATTTTTGGGGTACAAACTCTAAATGGAACGCAGAGGTTCAGGAAAGCAGCTCAGCATGTCCTTCTCAAGGGCAACTAAGGATGAATAATAATGCTCGCCCAGTCATTGATGTCCACATCCCATGAGTGTTTAAAAAAAAACGTATTTATCATATTGTGGTAGAAACTGATGTGCACTGTTCCCTTTTTTTTAGCCTAAAACAAAAGCAAATCCTAAGCATTTGGCAGTAGGAACTATGCCCATTCTGCACAAACTTTGGTCTCCACTGCATATGGAGTTCATTATTGAAACACCTTGTGTTGCCTAATTTGAGAACATTGTCAAGATTTAAAACAACTTATATTTATGTCGCACTTTTCATGACGTCAGAATATTCCAAATAACTCCACAGCCAACAAATTAATTTTGAAATATAGTCACTTTTCTAATGTAGGGAACGTAACAGTCAATTTGCACAAAGCAAATTCTTATGAATAACAGTTTGATAATGACCACATAATGCGACTGCATAATTTTGATTGAGGACAATGGGGAGAACTTGCCTGATCTTCTTCAAAATAATACATCTTTTACATCCACCAGAAAGGGCAGACAAGGCTTCAGGTTAACACCTCAGTAGAAAGGCAGGCAGTAGTGCTGTACTTCCTCAGTACTGACAACTGGAGTGTTAGCCTGGGATCTTTAATGAACTGTCTGATTTGAACTCAAGCCTATGATCTTTTGACTCAGAGGTGAGATTTCCACCCACTGAGCTACAAATGGCCAAATTAGAAAAAACGACATTTACCCCAAATTAAGTCAATATTTGTATTTGATTAATGTTTCCAAAGACTTTGAGTTAACAGATATTTTTAATATTACGAATACCTTGGTTTTATGAAGGAGTTCTGTTGTACCAATGGTATGCTTGAAAGCTTCAAGATTAAATTCAATTGGTTCATACAAAAGACACTCCTCATCTGTTAGGGGCACAACATCTGAATCGATGCCCGGAATCAGAATATGACCAGATGAATTCACGAGGCTGTCTGAAATTGGATTAATGAACTTAGAATCATAGTAGTTTATAGAACAGCAAGTTTGTCTTCAGCTCATCATGACTGCAAAGTCACAAAACTTAAATAATTCCACTTCCCTGCTCTGTACCCATAAATTCAGTATATTCTGGACATTAAGGGAATAAATGGATATGGAGATAAGGAGGGAAAATGGAATTGAGATAGAAGATCAAATACTGAATAGCAGAGAAAGCTCAAGGGGCCAAATTGTTTACTCCTCCCCTATTTCTTCTCTTCCTCCACTTCAAATATTTATCCATCTATCCTTCAAAGGTCATAAATTTCTCTCAAGACTGATGTTTGTGATTGAATTTATCACTTTCAGTGATCCACTGATCAGCAGAAATGCTCATTCCCGTCTTGCTCTGTCCAAATCATTCATAATTTAAAATATAGTCGTGGAAGTAGTTCCATTGTACTAAGTCTCTCCTTCTGAGTATGATCATCCATCACTGGTTTCTCCATGGTGTGTTGAGGTTCAGCACACCCTTTGGTTCTCATCTGCTTGTTGCACTGTAGTTTCTAAAACTACACTACACACAGGACATTAACTGTGGCCAGACCAGTATATTGTTTATTGCCTCTTATAGGTTTACATCTCTATTTCAAAACTCAAATTTTATGTTTTTTTTAATGTTTTGTCCACCTGCACACAGATCTTCAAGGAAATAAACATTTGAAACGCTACAATCTTCTGTTTGTCCAGTCTCTTCCCTTAAACGTATGTTCTCGTCTTCCAAAACTAAATTGCATCTACAATCTACTTTCCTAATCCGTTTATGAAGCATTTTATCCCATCCTTACCCTACAGTTTCAGTACACACAATTTTTTCCAGATATTCATTATTAATCTGTGAATATGATTTGTAATTCAAAGATATGAATATACAGAATAGGAGCAGGAATAGTCCACTTAGTCCTTTGACCTGCTGTGCCATTCAATAAGATCATGGCTGATCTGATTACTGCACATTTCCACCTACCCCGATACCCTCATTCTTACCAAGCATCTATCCACCTCTGCCTTAAAAATATTCAAAGAATCTGCTTTCACCATCTTTTCAGGCAGCGCATTCCAAAGACTCACCACACTCCACAGGAGAAAAATAATCTCCATATTGCTGACTAAAATGGATGACCTATTATTTTTAAACAGAGACTCCTTAGTTCTAGATTCTCCAAGTAGATGAAATATCCTTCCCACATGTACTCTGTCAAGACCCCTCAGTATCTTATATATTTCAATCAAGTCACCTCTTACTATTCTAAACTCCAGAAGATACAAACCTTGTCTGTCCAAGTTTTCCTAATAAGTCATTCTGCCCTTACCTGAAATTCTTCAAATGAATTTACATGCTTTCTGAAATAAGGAGAGTAATACCATACATGAGAGTCAGCAGAGTTTTCCTTCTCCTACCTTGCGACCATGATGAAAACACACACATTAAAGACAGAGTCCAAATATAATAAACTAATACCATTGTCAGTTCAATGGCAATGCGGAATCACAGAGAAGGAGGCCATTCAGCCTATTGTGCCTATTTGGTAGAACTAACCCATTAATCCCAACACACAAACAGAAATTGCTGAAGAAACTCAGCATATCTGGTAGCATCTGTGGAAAGAAAGCAGAGTTAATGTTTCAAGTCCAGTGACTAACCATCTGGATACAAAATTTTCTCGAAAGGAGGAGACAGAGGGTGTTGGTTGAGGGCTGTTTTTTGGACTGGAGGACTGTGAGCAGCGGTGTGCCGCTGGGTTCGATGCTGGGTCCACTGCTTTTTTTCATTTATATAAATGATTTGGATGGGTACACAGGAGGTATGTAAGTATATTTGCAGATGACACCAAAATCAATGGACAGCAAAGAAGGTTACCTCAGAGTACAATGGGACCTTGAACAGATGGGCCGAGGAGTGGCAGATAGAGTTTAACTGAGATAAGTGTGAGGTGTTACATTTTGGTAAGGCAAATCAGGGCAGGACTTAAACACTTAATGATAAGTGCTGGGAGTGTTGCCAAACGAAGGGACCTTGGAGTGCAGGTTCATAGTTCCTTGACAGTGGAGTCACATTTAGACAAGATAGTGAAGAAGCGTTTGGTATGCTTGCCTTTATTGGTCAGTGCACTGAGTATATGAGTTGAGAGGACATGTTGTGGTTGCACAGAATATTGGTTAGGGTACTTTTGGAATACTGCATGCAATTCTGGTCTCCTTGCTATAGGAAGGATGTTATGAAACTTGAAAGGGTTCAGAAAACATTTACAAGGATGCTGCTAGGATGGAGGGCTTGAGCCATAGGGAGAGGCTGAATAGGCTGGGACTATTTTCCATGGAGCGTCAGAAGCTGAAGGGTGACCTTATAGAGATTTACAAAATCATGAGGGGCACGGATAGGGTGAATAGTCAAAGTCTTTTCTCCAGGGTAGGGGAGTCCCAAACTAGAGGGCATAGGTTTAAGGTGAAGGGGGAAAGCTTTAAAGGGACCTAAAGGGCAACTTTTTCATGCAGAGGGTGATGCATGTATGGAATGAACTGTCAGAGGAAGTGGTGGAGGCTGGTACAAATACAACATTTAAAAGGCATGTGGATGGGTATATGAATAGGAAGAGTTTGGAGGGATATGAGCCAAATGCTGGCAAATGGAACTAGATTAATTTAAGATATCTGGTCAGCATGGATGGGTTGAACCAAAGAGTCTGTTTCTGTGCTGTACATCTCTATGACTTTTCTTCAGATATGTGTTTCAGATTTTCAGCATCTGCAATTCTCTGTTCTATTTTGGCAATTAATCCCATTGACGTTGGTCCAATTCCAATATGGACAGCCAACGACCTTTTCAGGAGTCTAAATGCTAGCCGGAGCCGGAAATTATTGTTTTTCTTCTTCTTAGTCAATAGAATTATTTCAACTTGCTAGCTCAGCATGAGAAGGAGCTGAATCAGCTGACCACCTAATGTGATCAGCGGTATTTTAAGTCATGCATTTTTATCCACTGAAGTATTAAAGTTTCAGAAAATATTGTTCATTGAGTCTTGGGATTATATTTTGTATTTTTCACTGACAGAGGATATGAATGGGAGAGGCCATTCAATCCCTGTTCTACCATTCAATTAGATCGTGGCTGGTGTGCCTCTTAACTCCATTTACTCACTTTAGTTCCATAACCCTTAACATCTTTCTTTAGTGAAGATCTATTAACCTCAGTCATAAAATTTTCAACAATCCTCAATTTCAAGGCTTTTAGTGTTAAGAGTTCCAAATTTCCACTTCCCTTTGCGTGAAGAAGTGTTTCATGACAACACCCCTTATTGGCCTGGTTCAAATTCTAAGGTTACCCTGCCTTAATCTGGACTTTTCTCATCTTTCTATCTCTTGATCCTATCAATGACATTAAATACATCAATTAGATTACCTCTTACTCTTCCCCACCTAACGGAAATCTTGTCTATGCAATCTATCCACATAATTTACCCCTTTTAGCCGAAGTGAAACTCTGCTAAATTGGACTGCAGACCACGTGTGACTAATATAGTCTTCCTGAGGTTGTCAATATCAGAACTGAGCATTCTGCTCTGGATGAGGTCTGACCAGAGCTTTACGTAATTTTAACATAACTTTCACCACTTTATATTCCACCAGCTTAAAGTTAAAGGCACATTGTCATGTGTTCAAGTTCTACCTGGTCAAATTCTCTGTCTGAAAACATTATACCTTCAATTTCATCATGAGTAAACTTAATTCTTACCCAAGAGAGCTATCAAGTCAGTCATTGCCTCATGGACTGTTCCCCCATATGAACCAGAGTGCAAATCTTGATTTGCACCTTGTACCTGCGGGACAGATTATGTACAGAATATACATAAGCAGTAGAAACACCAGTACTTTTCAAATCAACATAGAATTATATAGAGTCCACAGCTCAAAAACAGACAATTCAGCTCAAGCAATTCATGCCAGCAATTATGCTCCAATGGAACGTCCTCCCATCTTCCCATATGTCCCTCAATAAGCATAACCTTTAATTGCTTTTTCCCTCATATGCTTATCTGGACTCCTGCTAAATGCATAAATGCTATATGCTTTAACACTCCCTGTGGTAGCAAGATCTATTTTATCATTATTTTCTTGATAAAGAAATTAATTCAGAATTCCCCATTTGATTTGTTGGTGACTATCTTTTATACAAAACCTTTAGTTTTGCTTTCCCTGAAGTAGAGTAAGTCTGAGTTTACATAATGAACAATGTTTGTAATCTTAAAGACTATTGCATCGCCTCTAAACCTTCTCTCTTTAAGAGAACAGAGACTCAGTCTGTTAATCTTCTCCAGATAGGTATAATCTCCATACAATATACAAATAGAACTTGGAGTTATGAAGGCCAAGAGAGATGGAAAGTTAGCTGGAAGAACATGTGTATACAGTGGAACATTGGTATTGGGCAATCAGGTGGTGATTGGTGATAGGAGGATTGGTGTAGACTTAAGGAGAAGAAAGCTGTGAAGGTGGGAAGGAATGAGGCTTCTGAGGGATTTGAAGGTGAAGAAGACAGTCTTGACATTGCTTGTCCAGGATGAGAAGGCCATGGAGTTTGGCATGGCAACAGTGATGGGGATGTGGCATAAGAAAGCACGAGCCATATCATTCTGGGTGTCTTTGTATTTATGAGCAACGGAAGCAGAATATTTTTTTTTCTTTTTCCAAACTTAATTCCCTTGATTTTAAGTGAATGATCAAAAGCTCTTTAAATTAACCCAAACTACTTGGCATTAATTCATTGTTTACCATCAAAAGTATGTTCTGTTGATTAAGATGATTAAATTCCCTTTGTACCTCTATAATAAAGTAGCACAGTCCTCGTGTTCCATAGGTCAGAGCTGGCTTCTTGCTTAGCCATGCACTATCTGAGATAACAATGAATTCTACATTGGAAAAAAAGATCTCATTTTTCTTGGTTAAGAGATCATCTAGCCCAGAGGATCCAGATTCCTCCATACCTTCAAAAATAAACTTCAAGTTCACTGGCAGCTCCTGAAATGAAAGCAGAGTTATATTGCTGAGCAGTGAATACTTCAAGGCTTCCCAGCAATTTCAATTTGCACCTCAGCAATAAATCAAGCCCTCTTCACCCCCAACAAACCCCTCCCACATTATTCCCTTTCAATCTGTTGCAGCATATTGGACTGCTCATCTGGGGTCTTGCTGATATTGGAAAAGGGGAGATCTCAAACATTTACACTTCACAAACTGATTAATACCAATCAACCCATCTTTTAAAGTATGAAGGCAGATCACCTTTCTGTCTATTTGATTATTAAAACTCAGTTGTCTCTCCGCTCAGTGTTGCATCATGAATGGTAACATTGGTCAATTAACTAAACTTTCACATTATCCTCCACAGAGATATAGAAGACACTCCTAAAAGCATATACCTTTGGCAAAGTTTTTGCCCATCTGTCCTAGTATCTCCTCAAAAGGCTTAGTGTCAAATTCTGTCTGATTATACTCTTGTAAAACACATTAGTAAATTAAAGGTGCTATATAAATGCAGGACATTATTGTAACTGTTACCTACTTGCTTCAGTGCTTGAAATGCTTCAATGGCATGGAGCCAAGCTAAAATAGGGCCTTTGTCATCTGAGCTTCCACGTCCATAAAGATTACCTTCAAGAGATTCAAATGGAAGCATTATTATTAAAAACAGGAAAATGATTTCCACTTGATGACCCAATATTTGCAGAACCTGGTAGCAGCAGGTTGTAATACAACTAAACCAACACCAACATTTTTTTATACGAGACCTTTAATGCAATGAAAGGTCATGAGCTCCTTCGCAGGACTGTTATCGAACAAAATTTGGCACCAAATCACATAGCATGATACCATGAATTAGAGGATGATCCAGCATAGTAGTAGGCCATTCAGCCCACCCTTCCTGAGTTGGCTATTTGGTGGAGCAATCTAATTTGATAAAGATGTGTGAGGTTTAGAAGAAGTATCAAAAGAAAAACTGCTCTCAGTAGATGATGGTACAAGGACTACAGGGCGTAGATTTAAAGTTTTAGGCAAGAGATGCAGCAGGGACATGAGAATGAACTTTATTACACAAGTGGTAATGGCCCCTAACTGTCTCCCTACAAGAGCAATGAAAGTGGAGATGAAGAATTATTTCAAAAGGACATTAGGGTTTTTATAACAATCAATGATAGTTTCATGGACACCTTTACTGAGACGATCTTCCAATTCCAATTTTTTTAAATCAATTCATTTTCTTTGTCTACCCTATCTAAACCAGAAATAATCTTATACATGTCTATCAAATTACTGAATCACATGTATTGCACTGTTAGGAAATATTAGGACAAGTGTCTAAAAGCTTGATCAAAGACGTAGGTTTTAAGGAAGACAGAGAGGTAATGAGGTGGGAAGAAACTTCAAATCTTAAGGCTCAATCAGGTGAAGGTAGAGCTGCGACTGATGGAGCAATGAAAAGTCAGGATATGCAAGAGGACAGGTTTAGTAATACAGTGAGAAAGGGCCTGAGAAGGTAATAATTTTGACTTTATTTGCAGGAAGAAAATAACATAAGCATTGAATCATCTAGAAGAAATACAAAAATAAGCAAAATGACTCAAACTAATGGAAGTTAAGGTAAGGGTAAGCGCTATCACACTTTCACAATACTGACCATTCTTCTCTGTTAGCACATATGGATCTGTAGTCCATCCGTCTTTGATTCTTGCAGGCTGGACATCAACATGTCCATAAATGCAGACCGTAGTTTTATTTGGGTCTTTTCCCAATTCGCCCAGAACCACTGGGGGTAATGGAATGATTTTTCCACTGGGAAGCTACAGACAGGAAGTACAAATTACAGAAGACAAAGCAGCAACCAAGGAAACACAGTCATTAAGACATAGAAGGAGATCATTCAACCCATCCAGTCCACGAGGTCTCTGCAGAGCATTCCAATCAGTCCGATTCCACTGTTCTATCCCCATAGCCTTGTAAGTTTACGAATGAGATATTCTTTTAGCGACCCTTTTTTGATTACGAGGGCTGAAGTATTATGCCTTTCATACAAAAGAGCAATATTTATTCCACCATTACTTAATTCTCAAACTTAGAGACTAAAATTGGTGCACTATTAACAAAGTACGTAGTCTAGAGTATGAGCAGCTTGGACGTAATTTGTTCATGCTGGTGTTTATGCCCCACAAGTGTTTCCTTCCAATTCATCATCTTAACTTATCAGCATAATGGTTTTAAATCTTTTATCCAAGTATACGTCTGTCTGGTTTCTAATTTATAAATCTATGCTTCACCTCAAACAGTCCCTGCGCTATTTTATCACATTATGTTAGACAATCAGGATGATCCCTGGGTCACAAGTTGTTGATCTCAGTATTTGGAGGCAATGCCCGCATTAATATCAATGCAGGGAGAAAGAAAATCAGGTGAGCTATCCCAGCCGATCCTGCCTTGTCTTTAGTGATAGTTTTGAGCAACATTAGCAGAGATCTTGAAACAGGTTAAGAGTTTGAAATGTTGAATTTTCAGTAATGTATTTTCTGATTCATTCTCAGGCACGATTCATTATAGTTAAGGTCAATAGTTATTGTCTATCCTTACTTCCTCTGATGTAACAGTTATTGTCTGTCTTACTTCCTCTGATGTAACAGTTATTGTCTATCCTTACTTCCTCTG